GCCTTGGTGTCTCTGCTGACTCAGACACTGCAGTAACTGGCGGCTATGGTCTGGGAACTCCATTCTTATGGTGTGACCTGCTGGAAAACAGGAAAAACTGGATGTTAAATAAATGCCGGGTAGCCATTCACAACAGTGCATCTACAGGCCGCCGGAGACAAACAAAAGTAAACCCAACCCGCTGTGTGCTGCATTACAAACACGACCCGTGGGTTTCCAAGCGGCTTTTTTTCTTCTAGCGCTTCTCGTATATGAAGAAGTTTGCATGTTATTTTCCTGCAAAGCTGCTTTGAAACAATCTGAATTGTATAAAATAAACAACCTGACTTTTTTGAATGCCCAACAAAAATAAAAAGGTGTTATCTCACAGAAAATCCTTCTAAATCAACACGCAGGCATGAAAACACACTGAAGGCCACTGAAAAAAAGTTCTTCCAAGCTGTTTGTAATGCAGCTACAATGTATCGACTGTCAAAAATTGACGTTTGATTGTGAGTTTCAAACACTCAGACCTCAGAACTGTAGTTTCAAGCTACAAAAGAATCCTAATTCAACATAAGGCGACTGAAAACAAACAAAAGTGATATCCTACTACATTAAAAACTAATTGTACTTCCAAGATGTTTGCAATGCACAGCTGCAGTATATCTGTATATATTTTTAATGCACAACAAACAGCTGTCTCACAATTATAGTTTCAAGCTACAAAATAATTATTTCACTACTGATTTAACATGCAGTATACATACAATATCATAAAAACAAGTTGTGCTTCCAAGATGATTGCAATGCGCAGCTTCAGTATATTTCAAAAACTGACATGCAATTGTGTTTCAAAGATGCTTTTTTAACTCAGAACACTGAGTTATAGTTTCAGGCTACAAAAAAATCCTTTATTTCACTTCTGATTTCAACATAGAGACCACTGAAGACAAACAAATGCAATATCATACTACAATAAAAACGAATTGTGCTTCCAAGATGTTTGTAATGCAGCTACATTATATCGACTGCATGCGTCAAAAATTGACATTTGATTGTGAGTTTCAAACTCAGAATTATAGATTCAAGCTACATAACTTTTATTTCACTTCTAATTCAACCTGCAGGCCACCAAAGCCATACTAAATTAAAGAACTAGTTTTTAATGTAGCGCAGCTGCAGTATATCTGTCAAAAACTGGCATTTTAATAGAGTTTCAAAGATGCTTTTTAATGCACAACAAACAGCTGTCTCACAATTATAGTTTCAAGCTACAAAAAAATCGTTTACTTCACTTCAAATTCAACATAGAGGTCACCAAAGACAATCAAATGCAATAAAATCAAGTCGTGCTTCCGAGAGCTTTGTGACGCGCAGCTAGTGTATGTGTCCAAAAAATGAAATTAATTCAAGAAAGTGGATAAAAGGCAACTTGCTCAAACATTTAAGCGTAGCATCTATAACAAATAAATGTTCGCACACCTCAACATACCCTCTTCTCTCAGCGCTCGCACAAGTTGATCTTCACTTTGCGCTTCTCATCGAACAGCAGTGAATGAGCGTCAGTCCAGTCATGCGCAAACAACACCTCGCGTCTCCAAACGCAAGTTTGCGAACATCATAGAAACGCAATGAGAAGCACAGTTCCAGAGCACCAGACGACTGAACGCGACCTCTCGTCCATGTGTGTGTGTGTGTGTG